AATGATTGATTGTTACATGCATTTTTACCAGAAAGAAGTGTCAATAAGCAAAATGTTTTACAAACAAAAAATGTTTTTCTTTGTTAGAGCCATGATTTAGTACATCCTCTTTCCAGAAGCAATCGAGTTGTCATCAGAATCCATTTTTAATATTTACTTCAATCACTTTTCATAACACCCTTTCATAAGGTGAAAAACATTCTCTTAACTTCTGTCCTATCTTACGAGCACAAGCTAAATGAAGTTGAGTCAGCATGTGACCAAACTTAGCTTTTTCATCAAGGAAAATTCATCCTACAAAGATTCCAGAGTTTTTGCCTCCATGACACAATTATTCAATCCATTTATCATGCTCTGTGCAAAGATCTATTTATTCTAAATTTGTCTTTTACCAATTTGAACCTGTATCCTCTGGTTCCCTTTCATACTTTAATTTGAAGAGTAGTTGACTGTCTTTTACACCTTCTAAGGTTGCCTCTTGGCTTTGATGTTCCTTCTCCCCCAGGCCTGGAAGGCTCAAGTTCTTCATGTTGGTTTTCTAATTTCTGGGAAGGAAATCGAATGGCTCCTCTGCTAACTATCTCAAGGGCTTGCAAACCCCTTATTTCCCAGTAACCAGAATGCAGACTGGTTGCTTGAACCAGATTGGATACAGTACTTAAACACATGGAGTACGATATCAATTGAGAACCAGTTCCTTTGGTTTGTATGTATGTTTTACTGTTTGATTGTAAATCTGAATTGTATATACTTGATCACCGAGGCACCAGCAGTGAGTAGACACATTGCATAACTGTAGGAAATACATGTCAAAGCACTGGTCTTCAGTCAATGCTTCAATGAGACCTTAAAAAGCAACACCAGGATAAATTTACAGTTACTGTGAAATGTTTTTTCTTTGTTTAAGCCCCCACCCCTCTTGTCAGATATTAGAAATTTTAGTGAAGAAAAAGACGGAGGATTTCTTTTTCAAAATGCGGGCACTTGTGAAGTTCTTGGAATAGAAATAGTTATATATTCAGCCAGGAGTTCCTTGTACAAGTTTGAAAGACAGTCATACACCTCTTTAACACTGTCAATACAAATTAGTCAGTAGTATGTCTGGCACCAAAAATATTGTTTTGAGCCCAGTAACTGACTAAACTGTTAGTGTGATTAATTTAGAATTGGAACTGCTGCAGCTGTTAAACAAGGATCCTTTATCTGTTCGTAGGAGATTTCTCTATTGGTACAAGTGCATATGGTAGCATCAAGTGGATTAAATTTATTATATCACAACTATGAAGCTAGCTTTATGCTCATCTCAAATGATAGCTCATTTCTTTATCAACATGTATATTCTTAAGACTGGTTCATTTATATATTTCAGATAAATTGGTACATCCTGTGAAATGGTTCTCAATGCAAAAGTTAAACTAGTTTTGTGCAGGTGATGAATACTCTCGCCAAAATTCATGCACTGTGCATCCTCAGATTTGCAGAAAACTTTACAAGTTTTGATTCTGCTTTGGTTCTGAATCAAAAATAATAACTAATCACATCAATGAACAATTGCGCACTCTTGAGCACTGCCCATTTGTACAATAGTATAACCTGAAAGTACAATAGGGTTCCCTTTAGATCTAAGCTGTGTTGAGATGATTTCTGCCCAACTACCTCAACCCTTCCCGGAATTGTGTCATGCAGAAGAACACTAATTTCAAAGTTATTTCGGATTTGGTTAATTATTTCAATAAGCCTTTCAGAGCGTAATATGGATTTTACATTGGTGCCTTCAATGTCATTATCAATGTTTGCTGCTGTTACTCAACTGAAACCGGCAGTAACTTTGGGAGTCTACATGGGTATAGAATACCTTGGAAATCCAAAAGTTACTGTTAGTGATTCTGCGGATGAGATTTTAACTCCCTCAAACATCATTCACTTTAATGGAGTTAAAAATTGAGCATTGTTTGCCCAGAGTGTGTGCAGTTGAGATTCCAATCCCTCGTCCCACCTGTCCAAATTGTATTAATGGAAAATCAGTTGAACTTATGCTGTTAGTCCTGTTGTAAAGGTTACAGGTTTGTTTGTAACAAAACTATGTTTATATTGACATCTTAACTTCCATCTAAATCCGAGTTATAGTAATCATAATCATTTATTTAACTGTCAGAAAACTCATATTAAAAGTGAAGGATAAAACGCTTTTAGCTTCCTTGTTTGCTGTCTGAGAGAATAATGCATGCGGCTGCTTAACTTGCTGACTTCACCACTGATGCATCATCGGAAATACCCTTGACCTCATTCCAGATTTAAACTGCAGTCAGGAAAGGAAGTCTGTGCCACAGATAATAACTGTATCGTTGGGTACAGCTTTCTTTTGAGACAAACAATGTGCTCCATTGCTTCACTGCAGACTCCCAAATCTAGATCCATGTGATTGTGAGCTTCTTGAGACAGATGCAGCTTTCCCAGAATGATCACTATTTGTCAATTGTACTTGCAACTTCATGAAAATCTCCACAACTTTTAAGTATTAACTACTTGGGAGAACAGGATTACTTGAAGGAAAAGGCATAGGAAATGCAGACCTGACTACAGAATGTAAATCCTTCCTACAGACAAAGGGGGTGGCCATGGGTACCCGCATGGGCCCGAGCTATGCCTGCCTCTTTGTAGGTTACGTGGAACAATCCCTCTTTCGTACCTACAGTGGCCTTAAACCCCACCTCTTCCTCCGTTACATTGATGACTGTATCGGCGCCGCCTCATGCTCTCACGAGGAGCTCGAACAGTTCATTCACTTCACCAACACCTTCCACCCCAACCTTAAGTTCACCTGGACCATCTCTAATACCTCTCTCTCCTTCCTGGACCTCTCTGTCTCCATCTCTGGCAACCACCTAGAAACTGATATCCATTTCAAGCCCACCGACTCCCACAGCTACCGAGAATACACTTCCTCCTACCCACCTTCCTGCAAAAATGCCATCCCCTATTCCCAATTCCTTCGCCTCCGCCGCATCTGCTCCCAGGATGATGCATTCCACTCCCGTACATCTCAGATGTCCTCGTTTTTCAAGGACCGCAACATCCCCCCACCTCAGTGGTTGAGAACGCCCTCGACCGTGTCTCCCGCATTTCCCGCAACTCATCCCTCGCGCCCCCTCCCCACAATAACAATCAAAACAGAATCCCCCTCGTCCTCATGTACCACCCCACCAACCTCTGGATCCAACGCATCATCCTCCGACACTTCCGTCATCTGCAATCTGACCCCACCACCAAAGACATTTTTCCCTCCCCACCCTTATCTGCTTTCCGGAGGGACCACTCTCTCCGTGACTCCCTTGTCCGCTCCACAGTCCCCTCCAGCCCCACCACACCCGGCACTTTTCCCTGCAACCGCAGGAAGTGCTACACCTGCCCCTACACCTCCACCCTCACCCCCATCCCTGGCCCCAAGAAGACTTTCCACATCAAGCAGATTTTCACCTGCACATCTGCTAATGTGGTATACTGCATCCGCTGTTCCTGTTGTGGCCTCCTCAACATTGGGGAAACCAAGCGGAGGCTTGGTGACCGCTTTGCAGAACATCTACGCTCGGTTCGCACTAAACAACTTCACCTCCCAGTCGCGAACCATTTCAACTCACCCTCCCATTCCTCAGACGACATGTCCATCCTGGGCCTCGTGCAGTGCCACAACAATGCCACCCGAAGGTTGCAGGAACAGCAACTCATATTCCGCTTGGGAACCCTGCAGCCCAATGGTATCAATGTGGATTTCACAAGCTTCAAAATCTCCCCTCCTCCTACCGCATCCCAAAACCAGCCCAGCTCGTCCCCGCCTCCCTAACCTGTCCTTCCCCCGCCCCCCCCCCCTATCCCTTCCTCCCACCTCAAGCCCCACCCCCATCTCCTACCTACTAACCTCATCCCGCCCCCTTGACCTGTCCGTCCTCTCTGGTCTGACCTATCTCCTCCCTACCTCCCCACCTACACTCACCTTTACTGGCTCCATCCCCGCCTCTTTGACCTGTCTGTCTCCTCTCCACCTATCTTCTCCTCTATCCATCTTCTATCCACCTCCCCCTCTCTCCCTATTTATTTCAGAGCCTCCTTCCCCTCCCCCATTTCTGAAGAAGGGTGCAGACCCGAAACGTCAGCCTTTCTGCTCCTATGATGCTGCTTGGCCTGCTGTATTCATCCACCTCTACACCTTGTTATTACAGAATGTGAATGCTCTTGCTTTTAACATGTGGCGGTCTAGTGTAAGCATCACAGTGCCTTTTCACCTCAAAAATGACAAAGCATTGCCTTGACAAGACAAATGTCAAACATTGTATTGGTATTTTAATTTTCATGACTTAAGGCTAATTTTTCTGATAGTAAAATTGAATTTTACTGATTATTGGAAGTGCATGGCTATGATAGACCGGCTGACCAAGATTTTTTTTTTCCAGTTGTTTTGTGTGACTGATATATTTGTGCTCCAAATTGTTAACTTGCTTTTGAAAGAAAGCTTAAATACAGCAGTCCAGCACAAATAGAGCCAAAAGTTTGCTGACGTTTTTCTGGTAAAACTAAGGTAATGAAGTACGTCTTTCCTAACTCTCTCGGGAGACCTTGAAAATGTTGCGATATTTTCTATGGTTCAATTATAACTTTTATATAATTAGTGAAGCTTGAGCTTTCATATGCAAGTTCCTCTATGTAATTTGATTTCAAAGGATTTATCTCAACACATTGTGCTTTACTGTAACAATTGCCTGACACTGGCTAGTCATGTATGTTTCACACTGGGTCATATTTGTAAATGATTGATTGTGAAAAGGGCTGAAATCCTAGCATTCGTACAGTGTTTGTCACTGACAAAAAGGATCTGCCAAATGCCAGTATCACTTTTGTGACTATAGTTTTCTTCTTTTAAAAAATGGAAATTTAAGGTATAAAGTATAGGCAGTCACATTTTGATTGTTGCTTTTGCCATTTAATTACTGTCTTGTATCTTTCAGTACACCAAGTAGGCTTTCCTGAAGATTTAGAAGATTGTGGCAGCTTGCAGAAAACTATCCCAGAATGCGTAGCTTCTGGTACATCTTGATGTTTGTATCAGGATTCCTTGAGTGCCATTGCAATAATACAACAAGCAGCTCTGAGGTTAGATTGCTTCTTGTGTCCTTTGATGGATTCAGGGCTGACTATCTTGAGCGATACAGCTTTCCAAATCTGAAGAAAATGATTGATGATGGAGCGCATGTGAAGCATGTAACAAATGTGTTTGTTACTAAAACGTTCCCTAATCACTATTCCATCGTCACAGGCCGCTATGCAGAAAGCCACGGTATTGTGGCCAATTTAATGTATGATGCAGCCACCAAAAAGAATTTTTCGGTCTTCGCAGATAAAGATCCATTTTGGTGGAATGAGGCTACACCGATTTGGGTAACTAATCAGCAACAAGGGCACAAGAGTGGTGGAGTGATGTGGCCTGGTACTGATGTGTCCATACAAAATACAACTCCTTCCTACTACTTGAAATATGACCGCAATGTCACATTCAATAAGAGAGTTGACCACATTATAAAATGGTTTTCCAACTCAACAGAACCCATTAATTTTGGTGCATTGTACTGGGAGGAGCCTGATTCCACTGGACACCGTTATGGACCCGAAAGTCAAGAGATAATCAAAATGTTGAAGGAAGTGGATGATCACATTGGCTATTTAATTGATCAACTTCAAAAGACTGGACTCTGGAACACAATTAATGTGATTCTCACCAGCGATCATGGGATGGCTCAATGTTCTAAAGACAGAGTTATAGAACTCGATAAATGTATTGGACGTGGTAACTACACAGAGGTGACTCATTCTCCAGTAACAGCTATATTGCCCCTTAAAAGTAAGTAGTGATTAACAGGCAGTATTCACTGAACAGCTATGGAATTGTGTTATTTCTAAAATGAGATCCTGAATGAATTTAGATTTGAGATATTGAACTTTAATATTCTTAACTACAGGTTTTAAAGTCTTTCTATTCCCTGAATATAATTTTTTTGCAGCTCTAACTATAAAAAGCAAAAAAAACTTGGATGTTTATAAAATATATTAGTAAATCAATAAAAGCAGGATTGTGATATAGAAATCAACTTCAGACATTCAAGTGATGCCCTCATAGACCCCAGTTTGAAAAGCTGTTTTAAACCAAGTAAAAATTAAAATTGTGTAATTCCGTATTAATACCTGGATTCTAGTGCAGATATTGCTAATACATCTAATTATGTTAAATTACTAATATCTTAAATACATTGCATGTAAATTACAAGATGGTACCATTTGTTAGAACAGCATTATCCTTGTGGGCTCAGGTATATAAAACAAAATTTGCATGTATGTAGCTCCTTTCACAAATTCAGGACATTCAAAAAGGACTGTACAACTAACTAATTACTTTTGATATGTCATCACTATTCTGATAAAGGAAATGCAGCAACCAATTTGCATACAGCAGCTCCCACAAAGGTAGTGTGATAATGGTCTGTTTTTCTAATAATGATTTAAGCAATTGCTATTAGTCAGACATCATCTGTGGAGAGAGAGAGAAACAGTTAACCTTTTCAGGTATCCCTCCACAGATGCTGCCCGACCTAGAGTAATTACTGGCATGGAGAAAAGGTCATTCAGTCTGTTGATACCAAACTGGTTTTCTGTAGCGCAGTCCATTCATGACCATGCTGCCTAACCTATTTGAGCATTTCTGGCAGAAATTCTTCTGTTTCTGTTTCAGATTTTGACACCTCCAATATCTTTTGATTATTTGCTGATTCCTAAAAAGCCAGTGTTTTGTGTTAGCTGCACACGGGAATCATTTTGTAATCAGCAGGCAGCATGGATGTTATTTTCTGCTCATATTGGTAGTCTCTGCTGGATAGTTGTTTCGGCAAATTTCCAATTTCTAACCCACAAATGTTTTTATTTAAAAAAAACTTTGTTTAATGCTCCCAGTTTATATTAGTTAGGCCTGGGATGTCCACTTTAACGTTACTTGTGAGACCTAAGTCAATTATAGTTATAGATAGAGTTCTGAAAGTCGTTCCAGTTTTGATTTGCTCTAAATAACTTCATGTACAAGTATGTTTACACAAGCTTCAAAGAATTTAATTAAGTTCATCACAATAAGCACAAAGGAATTGAATTCAATGTAGGCAGTGGACCAGTCGATTCACTTCAGAACATGAGTTTACTGGCTGACAGGGCAAATGACTGAAGTTCTTCTATCTCCTGTTAACTACACTCTGGACTGCTAAGAGTTGTTGTTTATTAACATTTGCCATCCATGTTTTCCACCCCCCCCATCCTCCCATGGCACATGGCATTTCTGAACTCGAATTCTCTTGCTAACACGTGAACAGCATACGATCAGTCTCAGATTGGCTTGACAGTCTGTGCCCAATTTCTGGTTGGTTTCTTAAGGATGATGGTCATGACTGCTAATACTTCCTAATTTCTCTTGACTGGTTCCCTAATATATCAGTCACTTTTTGATTATCACTTTCATTACAGATTTTCCCTGTAAATTTGCTAACTTTCTAGATCTCTACTAAGGCAACAGGTACCACCAAAGTGTTTTGCCTGTCTGTTAATGTCCAATAAATACATCCAAATATTCTTGAGTTCAAGAGCATATCAATATAGTTTAGATCAAGGAACCAATTATTAATATAATACTTCACAATAACTGTTGGTGCCTGTTCCAAGTTGCTCCAACATACACTGCAGTCTGCATAGGTAAGCAGCATGTCAAAACTGAGCAAACAGGATACACACATAAGGTATAACTTATAATCCTCAGAATCTCTACTGTGTGGCAACAGCCCGTTCAGCCCAACAGGTCCACACTGACCATCCGCAGAGCGTCCCACCCAGACTCACTCACTACCTCCCCCAATCCTTGTATTTCCCATGACTAATCCACCTAACCTACACATCCCTGGACACAATAGACAATTTAGCATGGCCAATCCACCTAACTTGCACATCTTTGGACTGCAGGAGGAAATCAAAGCACCAGGAAGAAACCCACGCAGGGGGAGTGGGGGAGGAAATGTGCAAACTCCACACAGACAGTTGCCCGAGGCCGGAATTGAACCGGGATCCCTGGTGCTGTGAGGCAGCAGTGCTAACCACTGAGCCACCATGACGCCCTTAATACATATTAAAAATTCAAATCAATTACAAAACTAATTGCAGAACCTAATTCCAATGTGTTACAAAGGTCTGTTACATATTTTGAAAGATTATTTCTCCGTAATGCTCTTGGGTTTACAAACTAAGCCCAACTAGTGTGTAGCTTTAAACAAAAGCTGTTTGACTTCAAAATGGCTTCACAGTCTATGTTTACAATAAAAAATGTATCTTCTGTTACTGAGAGTATGTTAGCCTGTGGTCAATAAAGCAGTAATAAAACCATAAACCCATGACGTTGCATTTGACCTGGACTGTATGGCCAATCTCACCTACAACAGAAACATGATTTATATCCTGTCTAACTGTGGTCAATGTAATATTAATACATCCCTGGCTCAATCATTGCACCAAACTAAACTAAAACTAATTGTTGAAAAATAAATTCAACCCTCAATTGGCTCAAAAATTCTTGTAACCAGTCAACAACCGGCACTTGCTGCCACATTTTCTGTGGAAACCTGCTGGAAATGCAAGATTGAAATTCTGTTGCCCTCTATAGACACCTGGTACCTGAATGAACAGGTCATGTAACTGTGTATATGCTTAACTAGTTGGATTGAAGGATTGTTACAGGCTGTAAGGAAAGTGAATTCTTACAATGTCAAATCAGGTACAGAAATAAAGGGAAAAAGATTAAAGATTAAAATAGACTAAAAGAAAAAGCAAGACAAGGTAAAAGAAATCTCCAATCATAATTAAAACCTGATGGATTGAAAATCTTTGCTTAATTTTACTGCTTGAGGTTGACTGGGAGTAACTAATATTTTCCATGTTATCCAAGGGTGTTTGGGTTTGAAATTACTTAATTTGATATTCTTTGAGCGTGCTTCCTAATTACTGTGCGAATACAGCAAGATCATCTTTCTTACGGGATTTTGTGAGGCAGAAAGTGTCACAGAAATGGCATCTCACTAACAGCAGTGTGGTATTACTCTGACGGCTTCTCGATTTGCTGTATAATTGATAATATATCATCATGAGAAATTGCTGTGGTACCTGGAGGACTATTTTGGGAATTTTAAGCCTTTGTTTTTATTTAGTCACCCTGTTATAGGAAGAATATTATTAAACTTGAGAAGGTTCAGAAAAGATTTACCAGGATCTTGCTGGGAATGGACGGTTTGAGATATAAAAATAGACTGGAAAGGCTGAGACCTTTTTCACTGGAATGTAGGAGGTTGATGGGTGACCTTATCCAGGTTTATAAAATCATGAGGGGCATAAATACGGTGAATGATAAGGGTATTTTCCATAGGGTGCGGGAGTTCAAAACAAGGGGGTATATTTTTAAGGTGAGAGGAGAAAGATTTAAAAAGGGCACGAGGGACAACATGTTCATGTGTGGAATGGACTGCCAGAGAAAGTGTTGGATGCAGGTACAGTTACAATGTCTAAAAGTTCATGGATGGTTTAGAGGAATATGGGCCAAGCACAGGCAGGTGGAACTGGTTTAGTTTGAGGACATGGTCAGCATGAGCTAATTGGACTGAAGGGTCTTTTTCCATACTGTATGATTCTACTTCTGGACGCAGCAAGATAGTTAAAATTCCTCTTGTGGTGGCAAATTGTCATTACCTTAATTACACTTTTTCTGTTACAGCAGGCAAGATTATAGGCTGTTGTCTTCACTGTCTTATAATTTCTCCCAAACCACTATTTCATATGAACCAAACAGTTAACGTTCTTGATGCCCTCCTGAATATTATCCTGTTCATCCAGCACTCCATCTTTACTGACTTATTTCATTCAATATAATTGGCATTGGGCAAAGCAATGGAAGAATTTAAAATAACCTAATTCCCCATCTGCTCTTCTGAAGCTGGCCTTTTCCTTATTCCCCGTAACAGTAATGCTTTTGTCTTCAATTGATAGGCTCCAATCCTAAAGCTCTCTGATTCTCCATTATATTAAAGGTACCATAGAGAGCCTGGCTACTGCAGCAACCCCCTCCGTCCTGCTCCACCACTCCTCCCATTGCTACTTTTGTATATACCTCCTTATTTCCCTCAGCCAAAGCTATGTTTATGTCCCATCTTATGGTCAATCCAAGGGGAAAAAAAAAGCAAGAGAAAGAGAATGGATGAAACAGTGTGAACAATGGAGATAGTGGCTGAATAGAAGAAATCTGGAAAAGATTGGGATTGGAGAGAACGCAAATCACAAAAATGGAAGTGAAATAGAAGGGGAATTATCAGGGAGGAGAGGGGAACTGGAAGAAGAAAAGAAGTGAAATAAATGAGAGAGAAAACCACAAGGTAAATGCTGACCCTAAAGGGAGGAGAAGAATATAGAAGACTTTTCTTGACTTGATTGGTATTCTTAGATAAGGGGTGTGAGAAACTGAGCTTTTATGGGTGTTTCTGATTGCTTAAGAAAAGTTGTATTTGTTTTTTCCCCTTTGTATGTGTATATTGTAAGGAAAGAACATAAGAAATAGGGTCAAGATTTGACCATTTAACCTTTTGAGCCGTTCAGTAAGATCATGGCTGATCTGCTGCTTCAACACCATTGTCTTTGTATTATCCCTATATGCCTTGTTGTTTTTAATATGTAGAAGTCTGTCAAACTCAGTTATAACTATACTCAACAACTGAACCTTTGGTGCAAGTAATTTCAAAACTTCATCACCCTTTGAAGAAGCTCCTTTAAATGGTG